GTGATGGCCGACGTCTTTGTGCCTAGCTTCCGTTGAAGGCGATCTGTCTGATGAATAATTATGAGTGCGAGAGTAGGAGGAAGAGGAGCGAGAGGAGGACCGCTCCCCCGGGTTGGTGCGAGATCTCAGAGACTTATGACGACTTCTACCTCTCTCTTTCGAGGTACCACACGGAGTATGCGATTCATTTGATGTACGTGAGTCGCGATGACAGGAATTGTTCCTACTGCGACTTCGACTACGGTTCAAACTACGACCAGGCCTGCAAAGCCTGCAAAGCGCGATATTGTGTGGACCATTACAATTACGACACGGCGGCTTAGAACAATCTTGGTACAGATGCTGTGCAGAGAAGCATTTAAAACATTTTCTAAGTGTTCGAATTCGATCTTCTCCTTTCGTCTACTGTTCGATAACGATTACAAAAACGAAGCTTATGAGAGCCTTCGCATGCCGCGCATCGATATTGCGATGAGGATTTCGCCTGCGTTACGAGAATGGTAGATTTACTATATCTATTAGGTTGAATATTCGAGGACTTGATTGTAAAATTGTTCTTTGAGCTGTTTTACTGCATCAATGTAACCTGATACAACCTAACCTTACGAGGAATGTATTTTAGGGCTCTTGCTCTCTCTTACATTTATCTAGTAGGATAGTTAATTTTTCGATGTCCGAGTATGGCTGTTTATGTACGAGTTCCGAAAATATTTCCCAAAATGCTTCAAATTCAGTAGGATTGCCATCAAAGTCTGGAATACGAAGTTCTTTGCGATACCAATGAGGCGGAATGCCTAATGGACGTGGGGCCTGCATAATGTCCGACAATGGTTGCGAAAAGGAGGTTTGAGGAATTTGTGTGAAGGAAAGAGAAGTATCATCGCGCATACGTGTACGAACATCGAACTCATCAGCGTATGATACGTGCATTTCCTGTGTTTCGAGCTCCATTAATCTTATTTCGAGCTTCTGTATCAACGCTCGCGCCGATTCTAATAGCTCCTCTCCTTTACGTTCTTCCCAGTAGTTTTCGAACTCCTTTATAACGTTTTCGTTTGGGGGTTCCGTGTCCGAGATGCGGGATAGGGTCTCTTCATAGATTTTCGTAATTCCCTCAAGTTTGGTTTCGAGTTTTGTTACGATAGTGCTTACAAGTTTATGATGGGTATGGGTAAATACGTAGAGTTCTTTTTGAGCTTTGGGGAAATCCCACGCCTCGTCATATTGCGAACATTCCGAAATTATATGAGTTATATCGTTTAAATGGCGAGTAAGCCTCTGCTTAGCAGAGGAAAGAACTGCACGCGACATAAAAGCTGATAGGTGGTTAAACCTTAAACACGATAGCAAACGTTTCGTGTAACAGCTAGGGACGGAGGATTGGTACTGTGGTCTTTTATATGTATATCTATTGTCGCGAGCACTGCGTCACGACGAGATAGGGGAGCGCTTAATGGAATCCGATGAGAAAGAAAACATTTTGCCGCCATTCTTGTGTTGCGTAATGTTGCGAAGTGAAGCGCTATGTTTTATCCCGAGAATATAAACATACGAACAGTGGCATGGGAATGATCCTTTCCGCAGATCCTCACGAGAATTACGACATTTCTGATGAATAGCCCTGTATAGAAACACGATAAGAAAGATTTCCATGAAAAATGCGCGTTAATTCGCACCACCAAGCGCAGTGTGAACCGAGTCTCAGGAGCTCGGTGTCCCTCGTATACGAATAGAACGGAAATATGAGACACTAATCTAAAAACGTAGGCCTAATACAAGAAAAGGGGCGGTATACCTGAAAGATAAGGGAAAAGGGTGTATAGGGAGGTGGGCTGGGTAAAAAGGGACCGGCTGGGTGAAGGGCCGAGAGTTCGTAAGGTGGTGGCGGCCGATGCACCATAATGTTACGTGCATCTCAACAAATTCATGCTGACCAACATTTATTGATTATTCATTACTAATAGATACATCACACAACTAACGCATGAGCAGCAAAAGGAGGCAATAAAAGCCCACGTGAGGCAGAAAAAAGCCCCTCTAACCGGCTCCCAAAATACAACATTTTTATACCACTACTGTTTCCTATGCTCCGCCTATCCGTGAGTACTCCTCACGACACTTCTGCGCAGGCAGGACGAGCATGCGGTCAGCGTTATCCAACGCGCTGTCGAGAGGACGATGCTAGGAGTAACCCTATACACGCAAGTGCAGAGGGGAATCCGGAGTGCCGAACTACGCCAACGATCGAAGATCAGGGACGCTGCCGTTTTCGCCAAGGAATCGAAGATAAGGTGGGCCGGACACGTCATGCGATTTTGCGATGACCGTTGGACCAGTGGAGGGTAATAAAAAGGAGTTAGAACTAACAAGAAATTGAGGTTTAGTAGAAAGCTCTATTGGTCTCCACTTCTTTTTATAAATGAATCCATCAACATCCAATAAATAAGCAAATTCATCATACGCGGCAGCTGCTCCGACATGCACGAACTTACTTTCGCTACCGTTGTTTTGTCGTAAGGATTATACGTATAAAAATAACTATGGGAAGGATAATACGTATAAAAGTTCAATTTTGAGAAAAGGTGGAACAAAATAATATGAAAAAATGGCCGAAGCCTCAAAATAAGCCAAAAAATGTTCGGAGGAGTTGAAAATAAATCCAAAGGGCGTAGCATGGATTGAGGGCTGGGGCATGATGATTAAGAAAACACAGAGCAACAGTAAGAAAGAAAGGGTAATAGGCAATCCTTCTATTTGGAATAAGCGCTAAACGTTTGTGTGTCGGTTTAATTATGTCTGTTGTGTGTGGTAATGGTAACTCGAGATCCGTAGTTGGGGTGGGCGTGTCACCGGAAGTGACGTGTACTTGATAGAATCTATGTGGATAAGGGGCTTCCAATATACATCGCGAGATATCAGCAAAGCATGCTGGCAACGACTTATCTACGCAACTTCTATCAAGTCCACGTCACTTCCGGTGACACGCCTACCCCAACTTTCGGATCTCGACTGTATTGTGTGTAGTAGTGTGTGTGTCCGTCCGCAAAATGAAGTGAGTGAGTGATAAGGCAGCTAACGGAATAAACAAGCCGCCAACAAATCTGGGTAGCTCGCAGGATTTGCGCTATCAATGTTTTGCACAAGCATGATTGTGATAACCCAGAACGGCTATATAAACACGCACTTAGCACACTTTCGGTCATTCCACAAGGTGATGCTGTGGTAGCCGGCGAGCAGAGGAGAACGAGAGGGGTGAGTAAGGAGAGGAGGGAGAAGGGAAAGCTTACGCAAGGTAGGGAGGTTCCGGCGCTTGCCGGGGGACCAATCTGGTGAAGCATAAAGCATAGATGATTTTATCAGCTCTGAGCGTGCTTTGTGTAAATGAAAGACAACCGAGTAATAGCTCGTTTGTTCTGTGGATTTCGAGTAGGAGAGAATGTCGAACGACTATAAATTATTGACTGTGTGATGTAATCCTTATCATTATTTGGTAAGAAGTCGAGCAAGTAGTGTTCACTCGTCCATTTGTCTCCTATGTAACTGTGAAACCTACTGCATGAGGGTCTCTGCCTCGCTTGTCTGCATTAACGAGAATGAATGAAAAGACAGATGGCTTCAATCTACTTTGTGAAACCGTCGTTGCTGTTCTCATTGTTGGGCTGCTCATGCACATCACATCTTCAACAGTAGGTGAGAGAAAGGTACACCATGACGGTGATCGAAGCTAATAGCTCAATTTCAGCTGCTGTAAAGTATCCAGCTTTGACTGAATCCTCTCCAATCAACAAGGAAACTGGAGGTTGTTTCATTTCTTTCTTTACCAAGCGGAACAAAGCTGAGCAGGCAGCAGGACGTGACTGAATGTTTGAAAACTCCACCTTCACAAATTATCATTACCATTCATTATCATGAGGATGATTAACTTTTGTTCCAGAATGCCTATTTCATGGAGTAAATCACAATTTTTTGGCGGGATCATACCGGAACAACTGCAATTATATTTACGGAAACATGACGGGAGATAACTACGAGTTTCCAAAGTTCTATGTAAGATACATTAGCTTGCTCCTTAATTCCGGTGGACCTGAATTTCCAAGACAGTTTTCCCTTTGAGTTTGCGAGGAACATTGTTGAGCCAAAGAAACATTATGCAACAAATGTTTCTTTTTTGTAATTTGACAATATTAAACTCGCAACAATGTTGTGAGTGTTCGCGGTAGAACAAGGCCTTTGAAAAGGAAGGGACGGTCGCGAAGAGTTGGCCAAAATTAATCTTCTACGCAAAACAACACTCGAGGCAAGGGTACTTACAAAAATATGCTTGCAATTACCCGAGTTTCCTTCGAGATGCATCCCTCACTATTTCTTCACTTACTTCAATTCATTTATACTCTTCTTTATCCACTATGATTCCTCTAGCTTCGATACTATACCCAAATTTTGTTATGTAATTAAGCCTTATCATCAAGACCCAGACGCGCTGATTACCTCAATTTTCGAATGAAATCTGATCGGTCGGGCTCTTAAACATGGTTGGTCTCTTGTGTTTGTTGTCCACCTCGCGTAATATCCCAGATGCTTGATAGTAGATCTATTAAGCAACGAATCTCTATCAGGAGGCAGAAGACCAATGGATGCAATTCCACAGGATTGCATTTTGATGTGTGCGAGCGTTCTAGGCAGTAAACAGGTCTAACAAAACATTTCATGACAAACACAATGTTCCTCACTTCAATTTATGGCTTCCCTGTTAGTAATTGAAGTTTTAGTAACTTGAAGCACACCCTCAGCAGTAGGCGCTTCAAAGAATCTATACCGTGGATGGGATAGAGTAGCCAAAAGTAGCACAGATGTGTCGTTATGGGGGCTCGAAAGTGCGCAACAATAGCGCTAAGATCTTACAACCACTCAGCATTTGCTTACCATTCTTCGCACTTGGCGAGTCTTAGGCCGATGTCATAGTTTGCGAATCGAGCGATTCGCTAGCGAATCGCTCGATCCGAGCGTTGCGCCAGCGAATCGAACGTTGCACCAGCGAATCGAACTTTGCGCCAGCGAGTCGAACGATGTACCAGCGAGTCGAACTAGGTACCAGCGACTCAATAGTGGCGGGACCCAACGTTTAAAGGAAGCCCGCCACTTTTCAAACAGTGTCCACTGTCAAGTCCCGCCACTTTCAAACAGCGTCCACTGTCACGTGACACTGTTTGAAAGTGGCGGGCTTCCTTTAAACGTTGGGTCCCGCCACTATTGAGTCGCTGGTACCTAGTTCGACTCGCTGGTACATCGTTCGACTCGCTGGCGCAAAGTTCGATTCGCTGGTGCAACGTTCGATTCGCTGGCGCAACGCTCGGATCGAGCGATTCGCTAGCGAATCGCTCGATTCGCAAACTATGACATCGGCCTAAGGCCATCCCATGACCGCAACGTAGATTATAGGAATTCAAATTCGTGCGGAATAATTGAGCCGTGGTGCAGACAGGTGTTTGCAACGAATAAGATCGAAAAAACCCCTTGAAGACAGAATGCAACACCTGAACGTTTCCTCCTATATTTCTCCTTGAAGAATCACGCAGTCGATATGGTGGATAAATAAATATGCGGTGCAGTGGGATGAAAAATTCGGTGAAGTTTGCTTCCCAGAAGACTCGACAGGAAGTTACCGAAACTGGTCTGCGAAGTAGCCACAACAACCCATTCGAAATCACGATGAGGAGAGCTAAGCATAAACCGTACGACATTGCTTAGCATGAAATATTTCGCTCAACGGACCAACGGCAGGCGCACAATTACGCTAGTGTGGCAGATACAGACATATTGAAGAGACGAGTGTCAAGCGCTACACTATTTTTTTTTCTAACTTAAGAGGATACTCGACTCCTATAGTTAAGGCGGTATTTGAAGAACCGAGACGACACTCCTTACGAGACCTGCCCGAATCACGCGCACTCAACTGGCTTTCAGCTACTAATGTCCTAAAGGTGCATTGAAGAGCCCTTTACACATGAAATGTAATGCTGAGTCTTCTGGCCATTTGAAGCACTTGCACAATCCCATGGTTAGTATAATTAAAACAGTGGGCCTTTTATCTCGTGCCACGCGGTAAAAATACTCCGAATATTAGGTAGATTCACTTAGGATATAATCGGTGTGAGCGCAAATATCCTTAGACTATCTACGGCGCAACTCAATCTATAAAAGATTTATTATACGAAACGGCGAACAGTTAGTTAGCAACAAATACAACAAAAAACAATCAATAAAAACACGGCGGTCCCTCCTGTGGCCACCCACGGCCTTTTATTCCACAT